TAAAAACTATTTCCGGTGGGGGTACCCAGGTTGCACAGTCAGTTAAGCATCTGACTTCAGCTCAAGTCATGATCTTGCAGCTCTGGAGTTCCAGTCCTGTGCTGGGCTCTATGCTGACAGCCCAGAGCCTGGAGCCTGCTTTGGATTCTGTGTCTCCCTCTCTCTCTGTCTCTCCTGCATTTGGGAACTGTCAGCACAGAGTCCAAAGCAGCGCCTAGATCATGACTTGAGCCAAAGTCAGATGCTAAACGAACTGAGCCACCGAGGCACCCCTTGACACTTTATTTTAGATGGGAGTTATACCCATTAATTAGAAACAAAACTGAGACGCTATGAAGAAAATTCAAACTATTGGTTTAATAAATCTTTACTTTATTATAGATACATGTGTATATTAAATTACAATTAATTGTCCCAAACAATATACTGAGAATCACACCAAGTTAGATTATTTTTATAGCTGCTAAATTATGGCTCTGTTACTATAGTTTGTACTCGAATCAGACAACCTCAACCAGAGTTTCTCAGACAAATGCAGCCCTTATACATACATGAGGTAATCTGTCGTTTCAGAGGAACCACGAGAAGCAACCAGAATACATGCTCAGCAATTCTAATAGTAACATTGTCATGGATGGGGCACCTGGATGGCTCAGTCCATTAAGCGTCTGACGTTGGCTCAGCTCATGATCTCATGGTCTGTGAGTTTGAGCCCCGCGTCAGGCTCTGTGCTGACATCTCAGAGCCTGGAGCCTGTTTCAGATGCTGTTTCCCTCTCTCTCTGTTCCTCCCCTGCTCACACTCTGTCTCTATCTCTCTCAAAAATAAATAAATATTAAAAAAAAAAAACACGTTGTCGTGGAAGTGTTCAAAACCATGACAATGTTTCCAAATCCAAACAAACCTCAGAACCTAATTTGTGTTGCAACAGCACCACTGTGCATATCCCTTGACCCCCTTCTGCCTTTTGTTTTGATCTTTATTTATTTATTTTGCAAAAAGGCATTCTTGAAGTTCAGTACCTATTTATAAGGATAATAATAAAAGCGATGAAGTCCCATACTCATTTATAACAACAATCACCAATATAACAGACGTCTCAGGGAACTAGGAATGGACAGGAACTTCCTGAGGCTGGAAAGGCTGCTTACCCCAAACCCACAGCAGCATCCTGCTGAATGGAGAAACGTGACCTTCATCACGCCACCTTTTTTTTTTTTTAAAGAAGCTGACATGTGCACTCATGGCTGTTTGGCCCCAAATCTCATGCTGGTTCCCATGGGTGGGGCAAAGGCTGAGGTGTGGCCAGCTTTCAGGCCCTTTGGTTGCTTATAACAGAAAATCATTTTCCTCCGTTCTGTAAAAAGTGAGGACTTGATCATGGCTATGTATGACAGGGACACAAGTGTTAAGTTACAAGTCTCCTTAGATGGTGATGTGCCTTACCTGTGTCTAGGCCGTGAGCAGGTCCTATAAGCGACAGTCACCCACTGTGTGTGGGACCATGGAGGAGTCACTGTTTTGCACATGAGTGTTTGGCGGTGACAGGAGAGACAGCTGGTGGCTTTCACAAGGAAGAGAGCATGACGTTTCACAAGATGTCTTCTGGAAGCACTGGTAGAGGGAGAAGGAAGGAGGGGCAGAGAGGCCTGAGCAGCACCCTTGATGTGGGAGACTCAGAAGAGAAATTGTTAAAGATGTTTTTAGAGGGTTGCCTGGGTGGCTCAGTCGGTTAAATGTCTGAATTTGGCTCAAGTCATGATCTCACGGCTTGTGAGTTCAAGCCCCGCGTTGGGCTCTGTGCTGACAGCTCAGAGCCTGGAATCTGCTTCTGATTCTCTGTCCCTTTCCCACTCTGCCCCTCCCCTGCTCACACTCACTCTCTCTCTGTCTCTCTCTTAAGAATAAATTAAAAAAATTTTTTTAAATTATTTTTAGAAATGTTGCTGGTACTGTTAGACACAGCCTCTGTTTCCCCTACTCCTCAAGAAGATCTTCAGTCAGGAGCTATGGTTCATCTGTGGGCCTTTTGGTGTTTACAAATGTGAATTTTGTTTTTGTCAGTGTGTCCTCATAATAAAGTAGGAGCGAAAAAAGGCAAATTTTATTTGGGCCATAAGAGGATGCAGGATCTCATGGAACCCTGGCTCCCGGAATGGAGTTTGGGCCCCATGCCCGTCCCACACCCTCAGGAACTTCATGTCCTCTCATGGGCAAGCTCCCCTCACTCTCTGTCTCTCTCCACTCTCGTCTCTCTTGCTCTTGTTCTGTTCTCCCCCCAAGTTCCCCCAGATCCATGAAGATTTGGGGGTTGTAAAGCAGAGATCCTGTGCAAAGTGCATGGAAATTTCACTCCCTTATTTCAAGTGACCAATAAAGAGTGCCTGGTGCCTGTTTGATCTAAGTTCAGATTCTTTTTAAATTCTTTCCTAATGTTTCATTTATTCTTGAGAGAGAGACAGAGTTTGAGTGGGGAAGGGGTAGAGAGAGGGAGACACAGAAAGTGAAGCAGGCTCTAGGCTCCGAGCTGTCAGCACAGAGCCTGACATGGGGCTGAAACCTACAAACCATGAGATCACGACCTGGGCCGAAGTTGGACGCTTAGCCGACTAAGCCACCCAAGCTCCGCCATAAGTTCAGATTCTTATAGGAGGCAGCGTGATTGCCTCCGTGGGGTCAGTGCTCACCGTGCTTCAATCTGTGTGGCCAGCAGTGGGGCTGTGTGAAGGGGTGGGCAGGGTCGTGGTACATGCATGGCTGGAGAGGTCTGGCTCTGTAGATGGGAAGTTGGGTCTCAGAAAAGGGAAGCGAGGGTTCGCTGGATGTCTTTTGATGTTTAGAAAACATGGTTTGATTTATTAGGGAGCCAAGAAAGGCCTGGGCATCAGGAAGGGACCATGGAGGCTGTCTTGGGTTCTCTATTTCCGGATGAAATGCTGGTCTGGCCAGTCATTTTCCTGTCATCCCCTCCACCTCTCTGTTTTCTAGCCTTTGCTGGACCCTTGTTTTGTGCCACCTCACGTGTCTTTCCCTGCTTCCCTCTCTCTCCCTCCCACATTCCCCTCCTTTCCCCTTGCCTCTCCATTTTCCCACCCATGTGGCCTTCGCTCCCTCTTTCCTCAGCTCCATCCAGCATCTTCCCATTTTCCTTCACCCTTACCAACTTTGATCCTCTTGGCTGGCCTGTCCAAAGCTTCATTTTCTCAACAGAGGTCATTTCCTACCCATAATATAGCACCTGTGAGAACGGGGATGGACAGCACATGACAAACGGGCATCTTAATAAATGTTGACCAGCAGCACATCTGAAATCGTTCCATTCTGCAAGAGTTTAAACTGTAAATGAAACCTTAACAACAATCTTATGTTTTCTTCCGAGCCCTATGTTTTCCCCTTTGCCCAAAGAGGGACAACCGTAATGAATAATGCTCTTGCTCACACTAAAGATACACAAATTCCATCCTCCTGGGTCCCGGGCCCAGGATAAAACAGACACAGTCCACGACTTTGCGGTTTCTAGCTCAGCTGCAGATGATGTGTGTTGGGGGCAAGGGCGGGGGGGGCGGGCAGCGGGTGGGTCCTCAGCGCTCTGAGAGAAGCACGGTTTGCTGTGGGAGAAAATAAAGGGGGCCCAGGAATCAGAATAATGTTATCTGGAAGACATGAGATTTGAAGAGTTGGAATTGGGGAGGACATTCTTCGTAGGTTTCCCAGCAGTGGGGAAGGTGGGGCTGGAGGGAATGGAAAGGGGGTGAGTGTGGTGGTGGGCTCTGATGTGAGTTCAGAGAGATTAGCCAGTGCCTAGCGTGGAAGAGGCTGGAAGCCAGGAGGGAGTGTTTGGCCTTAATTACTAGGCTACAGAGAGATTTTAAGCATGTGAATCCTATTGCATTTGAGGAAAATTGCTCTGTCTGTGGGGAGAACAGATTGCACGGGAGTCAAAGAAGACAACTGGTGTGGTTTTAGCTCAGTGATGCATTTGTGGTCTGTGCCTGCTCACACCCCCAACCCAGAATTTTCTATCACCCCCCGCACCGGCCTTTAGATACACTGTGTTCAAGAGCTGCTGTCACCCCTCAGGACAAAATGTCTACAGTCCAGGCCTCTTGATAGCTCAGCTGGTTAAGATGAACACACCCATAGTTCCAACCTTCCTCTTACAGCTAAGACTGGCTTCATGGGTGTGCAAGCTGTACAATAGCATAGCGCCCATATTGAAAGGGTCCTTACAGTTGGCTTCAAGTTCTGCTGTCACCATCTTGAAATCCTTTTTTAAAAATTTATTTATGTTGGGGGGGGGCACAAGCAGGCGAGGGGCAGAGAGAGAGGGAAAGAGAGAATCCCAAGCAGCCTCTGCACTGTCAGTGCAGAGCTCGATGAGGGGCAGAAACTCATGAATCATAAGATCATGACCTGAGCCAAAGTCAAGAGTCAGAGGCTTAACCATCTGAGCCACCCAGGTGTCCCACCATCTTGAAATCCTTTCATTTTGGATAAATGGTCTGTCATTTTCATTTTTGCACTGAACCCCACAAATTATATAGGACATTCTGCTTCCAGCAATCTGTGGATGGTAACCTTCAGATAATTCTTTAAGTCCTAAGGCAAAATGGCTTGGGGCTTTGTCCCAAGACTCGTCACAGAATGTCACCAGCATTTCCAAAGAGAGAAAGGAGAGAGGCTTTCCCTGTGCTGGCGAACAGACTCTTCCAGGCCTGCTCTGAACTGCCTTCCGCCAGCGGCTCTGTCACACAACATCTGGACTGTGGCCAGAAAATGCTTCAGCCCAGAGGGAGAGGATGAGGGCATTCTTGACTTTTGCAGTTAAACACTTAGAGAAACTTCAGGAAGAAAGCACTTGGTAAAAGGTAAAGCTAGCTGGCCCCTCAGCTCCCTGCCTGCTGCTCTGCTCATTTGCACTTTTCATGGGTCTCAGCATGTTAATTCTCCTCTTCCCAGTGGCCAAAGGAGAAGTTTAAATTTCTTATTTCCTCTAGGGAGCCTGGAGAAAGGCAACAGGCACCAAATACAGGAAATCATGTGGAGAGGATCTCTTATTTATTATGGTTCCCATATTACTTCCCCTCCCCCAGCCTCCGCCCCCACCTCCAGCCACACTGAGTCTTCCAGCTTTTTCCTGCAGCAGGAGGACAGAAGGCAGTTCACCTCTGCTCCCCAAGGTCTGTCGAGCCCTGAGGATCTGAAGTCTGGTCTTGTGAAACCCCACCCTCCTGTGGGTGTGTAACTGAACGGGAGCCCCTTGAGTTACACCTCACCTAAGAGGTTCCCGGGAAGATCTCCAGTACAGGGTCAAATTTCAGGAGACTGCAAGCCACAGAAGAGAAAGGTAGGTCCCTGAATTATTTTGTTCTGTCTTGATGTGAATCAAGCTGCTCTGAAGGAGATGTGAATGTCCATAAAGCTTCTCTAGTTGGCTGTGTGTTTTCCACATGTGTGTCTTGTTGAGATTTCCTGATTACTGGGTCGTGAGAAAAAATTGTGAGGGGGGAGATGACATCTGGGTTTTTTTTTTTTTTTTTTAATTTGAGCATCTTTGGATAAAGAATGCCAACTAACATGGTACAGAAAACATGAAGCTGATTCTTATTCTCTTTGGAGAGCAAATCTCATTAGAAGTTGCATTGTTTTGGCTCCTGCATAAGGGAAAAGCTTACCACCTGCCTTTTCTTTTCAAATCATAGACCTCTACCATGCTTTTTTTTTTTTTACTTCTTTCTGAGTTTTTGTGTTATTGGGGGGGGGTGTAAATCAGAGGTCACAGAGGATTTTCTGACAGCAATAGAAATAGATGTTTCTAATTTAGAGGATCTGTAAGTTATAAGTAAGTGAATAAGCATTTTGTTCAGGACCTGGTGGACTTCCCTGTTATTTTCCAGGTTTTGCTATAAAACAATGACTGTCTCTGTGGTTTCCTGAAATTAGATGAAAGCAGTGACAGTGTCTATCAAGTGATGGCCCAGAGGCTGATTTTACCTACTCCGTTGTGATGATTGTCTGCAGGGATGGTGTTCACCCCTTAGCTGGTTACTTTTGTTGGTCACTTATTGAGAATCAAGATGATGTGTGAACTGAGATCTGGAGAGGGTTAAGTTTTACTCAAATAACACTACCTATTTCTCTGGATTTTTTTTTTTTTTTTGCCTTTTACGTTTTTAGTGTTTCATTTTTATCGTCGCCACCAGCCCTTCCTCTGGGAGAAATATTTTATGGTGACTTCACAGAATATCAGCCAATTTATACCCATTTATTGAACACTGACTCTTCTTCCCAAGCTTCTTTAGTTCAGATGCTCGTAAGTTCTTGCCACTTGTGAATTCTACCTCAGCACAGTCTCTCTCCATTCCGTCCTGCATCTCCTGCTACAGAGCTCTTTGGGAAATGCAGTTCTGAGAATGTCATTCTCCTCAGTGGACTTATTTCCTTTGCACCCCATTGTGTATCTCCTTGCTACCTAAATGGTAGTCCATTCTGGGACCAGCTGAATCACACATCACACTTGGGAGCTTGTGGAGCTCCCAATGGGAGCAAATTCCCCATCCCCTCCCCAAACCGAGTGAATCTATGTTTTAACCAGGTCCCTGGGTGATTCATATACACACTCAAGCTTGAGAAGCCCCGACTTAAGGAAGGCAGACAAGACCTTCAGAGTTTCCTCCTTTTCATCCCGTCCGGTTTATCTCCTACCATTTGTCTTTCTGGCTGTACTGAACACCTTCTGTTTCCCCATTATGTGAGAGCTCTAAAGCTCACCTACGTTTCTGTGTGCTGTGTGCCCAGGAGGCTGCCATTCATCTCCTCTGCCCATCTACCATTGCAGCCTGATTTGCTACCCCTTCCTTCCCCTCATCCAGTCCACCTTGGACCATGTGTCTCTCAAGTCTGCATCTTTATGGCACTTGGTAAAATAGTCGTTAGCACATGAAATCATGGTTGCTATGCTTATTTTCACCCATCAGGGGTTATTGGTCTTTTATTTCTGAAGCTATAGCCCTTGAAACAAATGCCACGTGTATAGCATGTGCTCAATCAATGTTTACTGAATTCACGAACCAATGAATGAACAAATAAAATGGATATATTGTCTGAAGAACCCAAATTAATGACCAGACTGCGGTCTACAGTTGGCAGTTTTCCAAGGAGACAGCCAATCCCCACAACATTTTCCCACGCTATCTTTTACGAGATATTGCTGAAATCATATTTTTGCCAAGCATTTTGAGTACCTACCATGTGCCATACCTTCCAGAATCTATTTCTTTATGTCTCTGTGGGTAGCCTCTCCCATTAGGTGTTTCTCTACCTGTGCCCCTCCTTCTCCACCACTCCAAGTCAGAGACTTACTCTTTCTCAGCAACTATGTACTGAGCACCTTTTACATACCAGACCCTGCACTATATGGTAATGATACGACGGCAAACGACACAGATGCGAATACTGCCACCATGCAGCTTCCCATACAGAGGATGCATTCTTTATTAGTCTCTATCCCACTTCTCCCTGAAATGCATTAAGGAAAACGGAAAGTCTGATCTGTAATGAAAATGGCGTATCCAGGTAAAGGCATTGGGCTCTAAAAGTCAGTGTGATTTAGCAGAAAGAAAGCTTTAGTTAGTCCTGATTGAGTCCTGCACCTGTAACCCACTTACCATATGAACGAGGGTGGGGCCACATCCATTCTCTGAAGCTTGATTTTCTCAAATGGTGAGCAAGACACAGAGCTGTAAGGAGGAGAAGCTCCTGTCTCCATGGAAGACTCCAGGGAGCCTCTGCGTTCACCTTCTCTCCTGCTGCACGGTTATTTGAAGAGCAACACTGGCAAAGAAGAGGTCTTAAGGGGGTCATTGCATTACTATGCCCTGTGCTCAGCCATCAAGCACAGTGTGACAATGCTTCCTAGGGAGCAGTGCCCTGCAGCTTAAAGAAACCCATTTGGCATATGTGCTGGGTATAGAGCTGGCTGAAGTAGGACAGCTGAGGAAGGAGACCGTGTCATCGTCAGGCAATCTCTCTTTTTGGAAAGCAGACAGAAGAAGGGAAGAATATAGCTCTACCAAGAAGTGCAGGAAAAATCTAAAAGCGTAAAGACGTAGAGCCAAACCCGGACCCCCACTCTGGCACAGCTACAAGGATTCCCCTTTCTTTCCACCTAAAGATTTATGTCTTAACCAGGTTTCATCTAGAATCAAATGCTGTGCAGGACACAGTATCCTTTGTCCCCATACTTTGTGTTTCCATGAGCTGCGTGGACAGCTAGGAGGAAGTAAATACCTTCTCTTTGTGTTCCAGACACAACCGCCAGCTCAGTCTGAAGCAAACTGCTGAGGTAATCTCGAGTAATGACTCTTTCCCTCTTCAGCCTTCTTGTCTTGTTCCATCATCATCTGGAACTCCCAAAGGAAATGCCTCCCAGCCTTTCCGAATTCCTTCTTGCTTCCTGTGCCTCATGCATCTCTTTGCCTCCACATTTCCTGTACACACACCTTGTCTATAGTTGCCTTTCAGGAGCCAGTGTTTTCTGCTGGTCATTTCCAAACCTCTCAAGCGATCAGTACTCTCTGTTAGTAAGCACGAGTTCTAGCACCAAAAGGGATATCAACCTACAATACGAGATTTCTAGGGACTTTTCAGCAACCTTACAACATGCCTGAGATCACCATTGGCTGTACCTGGTCAACATTTCTTGTTTAATCAGAGGCATGTGGTGGGCTAGAAAGAGGCAGACTTGGTTTAGAATCCCCCTTCTGCCTCTGTTTTTAAATAAGTAGCTGTATCTTGTCAAGTCTTCGTTTTATTTCTGGAAATGCAGATCATCTATAGCACACAAGGTTCTAGAGATTAGTCAGCTTAAGTACCTAATGTGTTGCCCGGAGAAATCCATCAGATCTTGGAAGAGGAGGCTGGCCAAGACGGTGAAATTGAGAAAATTGTCATTTGCAGATTGGTCGAAGGAACCAGGAGATATTCGAAGTACAAAGTTGCTCTTGCAGCACACGAAGGTTGCCTTCAAATATTTAAAGATTGCTCTATGTGGGAAAAGAAGTCATCAGAAGATTGGTGAGTGGAAGTTGTAGGGTCACAAGTTTTTACTTCAGCGTGTGGAAGGGCTTACCCACCATCAGGACTGTCTGAGACAGGGGTGAGCTGCCTTGTGGCGTGGTGAACGCCCTGTCCTGGGCAATGTGCCCGCACCCTGGAAGCCGATGGCCGGGGTGTTCCCAAAGGGATGCCCGCACTGGGTGGAGTCCGGGTGATGACCTCTCGGTCCTTCCTGCTCAAAGTTACTAGGAGTCTTGTGATGTCAGGGCCCCAGCCCAAACCACCAAAGGAGGGTTGCAAAAAAAAAAAAAAAAAAAAAAAAAAAAAAATCAGCAGGCTGGAGAGTGATCGTAGCTGCATTTTTACCAGCTAGCTCGATGTATCTGCAGCGATCATTTCTAAATAGGGTCTTTTCCACAACAATAGAGCTACAGTGGACGAACAGGAAAAAGCAAAAAAAAAGCAATGAGAACAATGAGGGGGGAAAAGTTCACCCCAAACCGCTCTTCTTGGGTTACTCTGTAACTAGATTGTGGGTGCCTTCTTGTGCTGCAAGCACATTCTTATTTGATGGAAAATTGCCACATTCCAGTACTTTTCCCGCCAAACTAGGGTCAGGCAAGTAACAGCAAGACTCAGAGCTTTGTCTCTGATCTCCGCTTTATCTATAAAATAGAAACACTACTATATGACTATGTATTTTCAGCTATTCAGAAATCTCATTTTTTAAAGTGCAAACTTGGGGCGCCTGGGTGGCTTAGTCGGTTAAGCGTCCGACTTTCGCTTAGGTCATGATCTCGCGGTTCGTGGGTTCGAGCCCCGCGTCGGGCTCTGTGCTGACTGCCAGCTCAGACCCTGGAGACTGTTTCAGAGTCTGTGTCTCCCTCTCTCTCTGACCCTCCCCTGCTCATGCTGTCTCTCTCTCTCCTAGAAATAAATAAAAAAATAAAAAATAAATTAAAAAAATAAAGTGCAAACTAAGTGCTTCTACTGTCCTCTAAATTGCCGGGACCACAAGCAGAATACTTGGCTCTCCGGGAGAGAGGAGAACTGGCTAAGGCTGTCTGCCTGCTCTGAGTTGAGGTCTTTTGCCAGTGTTTCCACCCCCCTTTCCTTTGTTAAATGGGCCACAGCACATAACAGCCTCTCTGCCAGTTAAGGACCTAGACACTTAGGGCAGGAAGAATTTAGCTTCGGTGGGTCCTAAGCATTTGCATCATCTACTGTGGTATCAGCAGATGCTAACATTGTGCCAAATCAAAATGAAACCATGATATATTTTATTCTCCA